CGCCGGGGAGCGGCGCGGAAGGGGGGGGGGGGCTGGCCTGCCAAGAGGAGGCCAGGCGCGGGGGGCTTCTCGGGGGCGGCCAAGAGCGGGGTGACGGCTAGGGGATGGGGGGATGTCATGGCGGGGGCCGTGATGCCTCCCCAGAGTTCATGGCGCCTCTTCTTATTTCAACTCGTCCGCCGGTCCCTTCCCTGGGCCGCGCACTTGCCGCCCGCCATGATTTGCGCCCCCCCCCCCCCCTCCTGGACGCCCCCCTCTTGGACGCCCCCGAGTTTCGAAGAAGCCTCCTCAGAAGCCTCGGGGCCCTCTGCGGGTCTTTCCGAGACGCCCCCCTGCCTTCAGGAGCGAAGAGGACGCACACCTGCATGAATCCACACTGGTTTCGAAGAATTCGCACTGCGCGAGCGTTCGTATCACGAGGCTGGTCTCGCGGACTGGGGGGCCGTATTCACGTACGTGGTTGGGCGCGTACGTCCTTTGTGGGTTTCCTATGCTTTCTGAGAAGGCCCCAGCCTTCTTAGAAGGTCGCCCCCTCCTGCCCTGTGACACCCCCTTGCGCGCGCCGCCAACCTCCCCGAGATCCTGGCGTTGAAACTTTTGCAGACCGGGCGCTTTCTCTAGGGTTCGGGCGTTGGGACCTGTCGCAGATCGATGCTGCTCGAAAAGTGCTGCAGAAAGACGGGGTCCAGGGCTCTGGTCGCAATTTTTCGCGATTTTGTACAGTCACCCCGCGTAGTCAGGATGAGCAGCTTCCCAAGGTTACCCTGGCATCTTTCCCCTTCGACCCATCCTTGGCCGCTTTCGCTGGCCGCGCCCCGCTGGCAAAGTGTCGACATGGCCTTCCAAGGCCCTTGCATCCTTGTCGTGCGTCCTTTTGATACGGGTTGATGGTGTTTTTCGCAACATCGTGCTGGCCGCCCCTGTTCTCCTCGCTGCCCCTCGCCTGGCCTCCAGGGCAGAACGCCGCTGGCTATGGTCAAGGTATCGCGGGATCGTGTCGACGCCGGTCTTGATCGTGGTCCATGAAGGCCCCCGCCGATTCGCGAGGATGATCCACGACACGACTATGACAAATTTTGACGATGAACCAGATAGGCATCGCCATTTCGGCGTTGAGTCTTGGTCATTGTCTTCGTTATCGAAGACGCCTACGGCGAATCACCGCTGCCCCCTGCCTTTTTGGAAGCGCCTGTGTGGCCGAGTGTTGTGGCCATGGCTCGGCCAAGCTATTGGACTATCTGTCCCCCCAGGCGTTGAGGAATCCCTCCAGCGAACACGTGGGGGAGAAAGAAGCAACTGATTGAATAATGAATCGAATAATTTACTAAACATTATACTAATAAGAAGTTCGTATTACTAACATAAGAGTAGGAGGGTCTACTTATACGAGGTACTATCAAACTTCTACGAAAAAGATAAGATTAGAGTACGGAGGGAAAAGGAGTAGGAGGAGGCTTCTCGGGGTTGCGCCTTGGTTGTGCGCCCGCGCGCGGGAGCCCGCGCGCGCGGGCGCGGACTGCGGACAGCCGAGGCTGATGCGAGAGAGAGAGGCGACTTTGGACTGTGAGCCCATTGGGGCACTCTTGGCGTCTCCGGGAAGCTTCTTGGGGGCCTCTTTGCCTGTCTGAGGGCGTTCCTGGCACGTCCGACGTAGTCGCTCGGCGTCTTGGTGGCTTCTCTGGGCTGACATGGGGCCCCCTCAGGGCGCTCCATGGCCGTCCAGGCTGACATCTTGGGCGTCTTGAAGGCCTCTTGGGTCGTTTCGGGGCCCTCTTGAGGCCGTCTTGGGGGCCTCTTGGGCCGTTATGGGGCCATCTTGGGGCGATCTTGGGGTTTGGGGGGGCGTCTTGGGCCTGCGAAAAATCGAAGAGAAGCGAATGTCCAAATTATTCATTCAACAATCGACGGGAAAACACAGATGTTGGCCTCTTCAGGCTTTCCTGGCGGATCTCTTGGAGGCCGCTTGCGCCATCTTGAGAGCATCCTGGGCGATCTTGATGGCCTCTGGGTCGGATTGCAGGCATCTTGGACCCTCTTTGTCCGTTGCAGGCCATCTTGAACCATCTTGGACGAACATGGAGGCCAACTCGGGCCATCTTGGCCGTCTTGGAGGCCATCTAGGCTGTCCAGGACACGTCTTTTACGCGGCGGCGCGGCCTTCTGGGTGGCCAGCGCAATGAGCCGAAGCCGCACGGGGAGTTTGCAAACATAACGAAAACATCAGAAGTTTAGCACGCCGGGAACACCTGTGATACATCAACAGGGGGTGGCGGATCAAAGACGCCTGCGGCGAGTCATCGCCGCTCCCTGCCTTTGGAGTCGCCCGTGTGGCCGAGCGTTGAGGCAAGAGCCCTGCCAAGCTATCGGGCCATGTGCTTCCCCAGCCGTTGTAGAAACCCTTCGGGGAACACTTGAGGGAGGATTGCGGGGAAGATCAGGAGGAGGAAGAGGAGGAGGGTGCGTCTTGGGAACCTTTGGGGGCACTCTTGGGGCCTCCTGGGAGCTTCCTGGGAGCTTCTTGGGCCATCCTTGGGCCTCTTGCGGGCCTTTGGGGGCTTCTCGGGAGCTTCTTTGGCAGGCTAAAGGCATTCCTGGCCCACCTGACGGCGTCGGAAGCCGTCCTGGGAGCCTCTCTGGGTCGACTTAGGGCCCTCTTGGGGTGCTCCAGGGCCGTCTTAGAGGCCATCTTGGGCGTCTTCGAGGCCGCCTGGGCCGTCGTGGGGCCCTCTTGGGGCCGTCTTGGGGGCCTCTTGGCCGTTCTGGGGCCATCTTGGAGGCCTCTTGGGTGGTCTTTGGGCGATCTTGGGGGGCTCTTGGGCCGTTTCGGGCCGTCGGAAGGCCGAAAAGAAGCAAACACTACAATCCTTCAAAAGTCTAAGAGAATATCAATTTATGTGGCCTCTTCGGGCCTTCCTGGAGGCCCCCTTGGAGGCCTCTTGGACCGTCTTGGAGGCCTCTTTGGGGCCTCTTGGGCCGTCTGGGACCATCTTGAGGCCATCTCGGGCCGTCCTGGAAGCTTCTTGGGCGGACTTGGAGGCATCTTGGACCCTTTTGAAACCGTCTTGGAGGCCATCTTGGACCATCTTGAGCGAACTTGGAGACCATCTTGGGCCAACTTGGCCCTCTTGGAGGCCATCTTGGGCCGTCGTCGGGGACTTGTTCTGAACGTTGAGGTTGTTTCCCGTCCCTTCCGGGTGGCCGGCGTGACGGGCCGAAGCCCCAGGGGGAGGGAGTTCTTTTGGATTCTGTTTGGAGAAAGACCAAAGCCAAGCCAGAAGGATCTAGCACGTCGGGCACCCCTGTGGCAAGACCACAGGGGGCGGCGGATCGAAGACGCCTGCGGCGAATCACCGCCGCCCTCTGCCTTTCCGAATCGCCCATGTGGCCGAGCGTTGTGGCAAGAGCTCTGCCAAGCTATCGGGCCATGGGTTCCCCTAGCCGTTGTAGAAACCCTTCGGGAAACACTTGGGGGAGGATTGCGGGGAAGATCAGGAGGAGGAAGAGGAGGAGCAGTAGGAGGAGCAGTAGGAGGAGGAGGAGGAGGAGGAGGAGGAGGAGGGCGCGTCTTGGGAACCTCTGGGGGCACTCTTGGGGCCTCCTGGGAGCTTCCTGGGAGCCTCTTGGAGGCAACTTGGGGGCCTCCTTAGACCTCTTGGAGGCCTTTAGGGGGCTTCTCGGGAGCTTATTTGGCCACCTTAGGGCATTCCTGGCCCGTCTGACGCCCTCGGAAGCCGTCTCGGGGCGGGGGCCTCTCTGGGCCGACTTGGGGCTCTCTTGGAGTGCTCCAAGGCCGTCTTGGAGACCATCTTGGGCGTCTTCGAGTCCACTTGGGGGTCCTCTTGGAGCCGTTTTGGGGGCAACTTGGCCGTTCTGGGGCCAACTTGGAGGCCTCTTGGGTGGTCTTGGGGCGATCTTTGGGGGCTGTTGGGCCGTCTCGGGCCGTCGGAGAGCCGAAAAGAAGCAAATGCCCAAATCCTTCAAAACCGGAGGAAAATCAATGATCTTCGGGCCTTCCTGGAGGACTTCGTGGAGGCCTCTTGGGCCGTCTTGGAGGCCTCTTCGGGGCCTCTTGGACCGTCTTGGGCCATCTTGAGGCCATCTTGGGCCGTCCTGGAGGCTTCTTGGGCGGACTTGAAGGCATCGTGGACCCTCTTGGGCCGGCTTTTGAGACCATTTTGGACGATCTTAGGGGAACTTGGAGGCCATCCTGGAACCATCTTAGCCCTCTTGGAGACCATCTTCAGCCGTCTTGGAGGATTTTTCCAGACCTTGAGGTCTTTCCTGGGCATTCGTGGGGCCGGCGTGCTGGGCCGAGGCCCCAGGTAGAGTTCTGTTGAAAAAGAAGACCAACACCAAAGACCGTAGGATCTAGCACGCCATGCAAGAGCGGCGGATTCAGTCGCCTTCGGCCCATATCGCCACCGTGCTTGGATTGCAGGTCAGATGCCTCTTGGATTTGCGAGGATCTCTTGGGGGGCCTCTCGGATGCCTCTCGGGGGCGGTTTCGGGGGTGTCTTGGGGCGTCGTGGGGGGGGGCGTCTTCGGGGCCTCCGGGGGCCCAGATTGTTTGGCCTCTTGGGGGCCTCTTGGGGCCTGATGGGCGCACCGTGGGGGCCTCCTCGGGGCCGCCTGGGAGTTTCTGGGGGCCGGGTTCTAAATGTCCTTTTGGGCTCCCCCGCCTGGGCCCCCTCCTGGAGCTGTCTCGGGACTCCCTTCGGCCGTCTTTCCTCTCAGGGTCCTCTTGGCCCGCCTTGGGGCCCTCTTGGCGTCCCAAACTCTCAGGCGACACACCCCAAGAGGGCGCAGTAGCGCCCGAGAGCGCCTGGGAAACGGGGTATCTGGGCCTCTAAAAACCCAGAACCACAAGCCCTCTGCCTTGCAGAGCTGCGTGGGCCCTGGGGCACCCCACCGCGTGCCGAAGGCACGGTGGCGGATCTTCCCCTCCGTACGTAAGCCAGGGCGTCCTGCACCCTCTCTGCCGTCGGCCCTCCTGCCCGAGGATGCTGCTTCCCGCCATGCTGCCGCGAAGTCGTGCCCCCGGCGAGCCTCCGCCTCCGCCGATGTGCTGGCCGCAGGAGGGGGGGAGGCGCGGGTCAAGAGCGCGCGCGGGGGCTACACGCTGCGCGAGGTGGGTGGGCCTTCCATCGAAGGGTAAAAACCGGCCTGGACATGTGTTTTGGTTGGTCTCCGCAGGGATTTCTCGGATCGGCGCCCTCCCCGGGCGGCGCCTTTGGCGCCGCTTCTGGCGCGCTCCGCACTCTGGCGCGGATGCGAGACATCAGCTCGGACCTTGGACAGTTTATGTTGCTTCAGTTGTTCACTTGTTCCACTATGCTAAGAAGGCCCGGGGTTTTACAGAAAGACAGGCAGGGCCGCTGGGAACGCCCCTCAGAAGCCAGGAGGGCGTCCACGGAGATCCCTGCATTTTGAGACCTCTTCTCAGAAGGCCGCCGCCCCCCCCCCGAGAATCGGCGCGGCTGGTGTCCGCTGAGCGCCGTCGAGATCAAGGGGAAGCAAGGCTTACAGCCAGGACGCTGAAATTAGGACCACGTTCGGTTCAGGAAGTGCTCTGGTGCCGGGCCGCTGCTCAGATCAAGCTGGTTGAGGGGCATGTTTGTGGCCGAGGCTCGCCGTGGCCAGAAGCGCCTTTTCGCTCCTTGGTTCGGCGTTCTTCATGTCGTAAGCCCTTCTTGGCAACCGGTAGCGGCGGCGCCCATTGAAGTATCGAAGGTGGGGGGGGCGAGATCGCAGTGGAACGGAGAGCCCCCCACCAGGAAATCGGTTTCGGTTTCGGTTGAGTGTTCGTGTCGTTCGTGCTGGCGAGGCGAAGCTGCGTGGGCGCGCGAATGGAATGATCCCGCCGTCACTAGGGCGATTCGGATGCAATCGTCCAGCTCTGGGCGCGCGGTGGCTGGGGGTGTCTCGCCGTGGTGTCTCGTGGTGTCCCGATGGTGTCCCGCGGTGTTTCGCCGTGGGCGCGCGAGAGGAATGATCCCGCCATCGCCTGGGCGATTCGGATGCAAAAGTCTGGCCCTCTGGTGGGGCGCTGTGGCTGGGTGCGGTTGGTATGTCTACTTCAGCTTCTCCTCGTCCTGCGCCTCCTTTCTCGCATCTCTTGCCCCGCGGCCGCGTCGGTTCGCAGGGCCCCTGAGTTGCGTGGCGCGCCGGCAGCGGGCGCGCGCGAGCCCCCGTAAAAAGAAAAGCGTGCTCTCTCTATTTTTTTTTTTGTTTTTCTCTCTCTCTCTCTCTTTCTCTCTCTCTCTCTCTCTCTCTTTCTCTCTCTCTCAGCTCGGGTCCTTCCATTTGCACATCGTGTTTCTCTGTTTTTCCATAGAGCTAGTCTAGTGCGCCCCACGGTGGTGGCGGAGCCTCCGTGTCTCCGATCACAAGGAGAGTCAGGCAGGCTCTCCTCGTCACTCGACTTTTGAGTGACATGCCCTTTCCTCCCGTTCTTCCCGCTCCCAACCCTCTCGCGCCGAGCGCCGCCATGTACAGCGAAACCGACGCTCAACCACCAGAGGACGCAGTCCTTGGAGGTCTTTGGCAAGAAGAAGGCCATGATCCGTGGGCAAGACGTCGAGCACGAGGAGATGTTCCCCGGTATGGCGACGCCGAAAGGGGGCTGGTCAGATGCTGACTGGGCCCGTTGGTTTGCTCGACAGGGGGAATAATAATAGCCCAATACGCAATCCGCCTCATCGGGATGGAACCCGCAAGGTCGTGGCTCGCCGGCTGGAGCAGCTCGGGTGACTTCACCTTTGAGGGGTACTGCAGCCCCGTTCGCTCCAACCGACTGGGGTGGCGCCACTGTCAGATCTTCCGATCGACAGAGCGGACAATTCCCTGAACAACCGAAGGTTCCAAATATACCGAACGAATTATGTCCCACCTGGGATGGGAGCACCCCTGCTATTTTTTGGATCCATATTTGAAGGAATTGCAGATGTGGCTGGCGACCATCAGGTCTCTGAAAGGGCAACACGGGTACCTCATCTACCGCTACGCCAAAGACGACTTCAATATCATCATGAGCGAGCTCACAGAGGAACCGCTGTCCGCCGAGCATAGCGGGCAGGTTGTGGTCAAACGTATCCGAAAAAAAACGGCTTTCGCCGAATGCCAGGACCGCACGATGCCGAATGCATTTGAAAAGTTGTGTTACGCTAGACATACGAATCGCAACCAAGATGATTCCCTCGTCAATTACATTGTTCGCAAGCGCGCTCTCTTCAGATAAATCAAGAAGCGCACCATCGGGGCTGAAAAGGCTAGATGCTTCTCAGAGAGTCCAAACTCAATGGCTCCGCGTGGGACAATTTTGAGAGTTCGGCTTCTATGATTGCTGGTCAGCGGGCAGCTTCGTGAGCTAGAACGCCCTTTACCAACGGGGAATGGTGGCCATCGTACTCACCGAAAGAATTTCTTACGTTCTATTGGTTACCAGGGTGAAGAAGAATGGCGCGAAGAAGGGGGGTCCGACCATGAAAATGTTGATTGGATGTTCATGCAACTGCTTCTGTTCACATCGCCAGAGGTGCACGATTATATGTATATATATATATACACATTTGAATACATACGCGCTATATATATATATATATATATATATATATATGTATATTATATATATATATATATATATATATATATGTGTGCGTGTACACATACATGGGGTTCCCGGGGCCCGGGCCCCGGGCCACAACCCCCTTGTACATAGGTAGTGGCCTCCTCCCTGGGCGCCCCCCCCGCGCCCCCCGCGCGTTCCAGTCCGGCCAAGAAGATTCCAACAGCGCCGACAAAAACTCCAGGATCGCTTCAATACCGCCAGAGATCGCTTCCAGAAGGGCCAAGAAGCCTTCAAGCCGCCCCGACAGGCCGCCAAGAGGCCCCCCAAGAGCGCCCCGGGAAACAAACATGGCCCCATTCCCTTCGTAAAACGTGCATTTTTAGGATATCGGTTCTCTTGGACGTCGGAACGGTCAAAAAACCCCAAGACGCGCCCAAGGACGCCTCAGGACGGCTGAGACAGCCCCGAGACGGCCCAGGAGGGCCTCCCGGGACGTTTCAGATGGCCCAAGAGACTGCACGGTCGCCCCGAGAGGGCCCCAGGAACGCTCCGATACGGCCCATGATGGCTTCCAGAAGGGCCCCGAGGCCCTCAAGACGCCCCACGAAGGCTCCAAGAGGCCCTCCAACAGAGCCCTGGGGAACAAAACTGGCCCATCCCTTTTTTGTAAAACGTATATTTTTAGAAGAGCCCCCAAAATGCCCGAAGAGGCGCCCAAAAACGCCCCAAGAAGGTCAAGGACAGCCCCAAGACGGCCTAGGAGAGCCTCCAGGGACGCTGTTCCAGCGGCCCCCGGGCTTCCCAGTCCGCCCAAGAGTGCCCAAGAGGCTTCCGAGACGCCCCGAGAGAACCCCAGGAGCGCTCGAAGACGGCCCACGCTGGCTTCCAGAAGGGCCAATATGCTCTTGTAAGATTGCCTGGTTCTCTGAGTTTCTGGCTCGGGGAGGGATGTTGAGGACGAGGAGGGAAGGGGAGCGCAGGATAAAGAGGGCTCGAGAGGACGAAGGAGGTGAAGTAGGTGAAGGAACACAAGGAGGGACACACCGAAGAGCGGGGAAGACAGGGAGGAGGAGGATAATGATGAGGAGGAGGAGGTGAAGGAACAGAGGTGTCTTTCAGGGAGGCCGACGAGGAAAAGGATGAGTATAGGATGATGGGAAAGGGAGAACGGAAGGATGAGGGGAAAGGGACTGCAGTGGACCAGGGATGATGACGGTGATGACGCTGATGATGACGATGATGACGATGATTATGCTAACGACGACGCCGACAACGACCAACAATATGTTGACGATGCGGATGATGATGCTGAACAGGGCGATGACGATGATGGCGATCGTGATCACGATGCCGATGATAATGGTGATGATTGTTGTGATGGTGAAAGTGACCGTGACCATGACGATGACGATGAAGATGACGGAGATGAGGATGACAATGGTGACGATGATCATGACCCTAGCTAGAACTTGAGCGCGCGCGAAGCGCGCGCGATGGTTCTAGCGTATATATATATAGAATGATGCTCTCAGGTGTTCGGGCGACGAGGAAGTGCTCTTCGTGGCCAGAGACTTGCCGGAGAACGTAGCCCTACATGCGTGACCTGCGCCAATTACAACTTCGAGTCCGACATTGCAACCCGAAAATGATTTACCTTTCGACGTCTGGGTCCTGACTAGGTCCCACCCAGCGGGTTATTTCGACAACATTAAGTATCCTCCAGTTTGGATCCCGGCAGTGTCGGAATTCGCCAGCAAAATGGACGCCGGCGACCTCCCAAATATGGGGGGGAACCCGTGGCACGAGCGCAAGGAGGATAATGTGATCAATGCCGGCTGGGGGGAACTGGTCAAAGACGGAGAGTGCATCATGAAGGATTTCTTGGACCACTATGAGGAGGCGGACAACCAGGGGCGGCGCGAGGAGGCGAAGCGCTTAGAGGAGGCTGCGACTGCGATCGTGGGAGCTCGAGCAGTACTTTTCCTCTCCGCAGCTCGAAAAGTCACCGGTCGAGAAGGGCGATCTTGTTCTCGGACTATCCGAACGGAATTTCAGTTTCCGCAGGAAAAACTTGAAGCTCGTCAAGAAGAGCACAACCGCTTTCAAGAAGATGATGAGTCCTTCCTGGAAGACCCGCGTCGAGGAGGGCGCGTCAGAAGATAATGCGGTCGATGTGTGTGCCGTGACGACTGCTTCGGGCGCCGTGGTGCAGGCGGCTCGATATGGGATGCCAGACGCGAGAATGGCGCCAGCTTTGCTCGGGACCAGCTGTGCGACAAGGTCGAAGGACCCTTTGCGCATTGTCCGATCAAGCACCCGACAGGACAGTGGTGGTCCGTTTGTTCGATGCTGGCGCGTAACAGGGGTATGATGAAGGACACTGCACTCTCCGACGACAGGAACCCCGAGTTCAAGACGACCTACCACGGTACCAACTTAGCAGCTCTCGCTTCAGTTTGGAGTGATCGCGACATGCACATGCTGAATCCAGGACTTTCCATAACTGAGAGCGCGTTTGGATTTTACTGCGAGGGTGAGCACCGCCGCGGCAGCTGCGCTCACTACGTGTTTCGCATGTCATCAAACGGCGGCCCTGAGATGAAGTTGTGCTCGTGCATTTTCGAGATGCAGTTCGATCGCAATCGCCTCTCGAATTATCCGAGGCAAAGGTCCATGAGCAGCGGTGTCAAGCTGCAGGCAGTACCTACGTCACCAAGCTCTGGATCCACACCACGGCGATGAGGGAGATCTGCGATGAGGTCCAGAAGCGTGAGTCTGTCTTCGGATGGTACAAGGTATGGAATTGGGCATGCAGTATGTACCTTGCCGCGAAAGTGTGCCCATCTGCTTTCCCGAGTGCGCGTGCATATCTGGACGGCCCGACCGGGGGCCATGCTCTGAAGATGTTTGATATCGGGTTTCACCGTCCGATTTTCGTACCAAAGCACGAGCGTCGGCTTCTGCAGTGGACCATCGAGTTCAGTGCTGCGGCCTACTTCTTGGAGCGGAAGGGTACCTTCTATTGGCCACCCCACTCCGAGCCGAGGAGCGATATGAAGGAGGAGGGTGAGTCCGCGGGCGAATCTTTGTCAGTTTTATGGCGGTGGGAGTGGCAATCCCTTGGGACATCTGTCTACTTCGGTCTTCTACAGGTCTCTGTGTTCGCGTGGCTGAAGCGGCCGCATGTCACGGATGATTTGAGGAGGATTGTCGAAACAGTGGTACCATGAATGGCTACGTGTGCAGTGGTTACGACGATTGTAAGACGTTCAAGGTGAGTTGAGGTTCGTCTGTGGGTTCGGCCGGCAACAAACACGTTGGGTTTGTGGTTGTTATGTATATTTCAGCTTCTCCTCCTCCTCCTGCGCCTCTCCATCACCTCTCTTGCCCCGCGGCTGCGACTGCTCGCAGGGCCCTTGAGCTGTGCGGCGCGCGAACAGCGTGCGCGCGCGAGCCCCCGTAAAGAAAAGAAAACGCGCTTTGTTTCCCAGTACGGGTCCCTCCATTCGCACATCGTGTCTCTGTACAGCTACTACAGTGCATTCCACGCTGGGGGGGGGAGGCCGTCCTGGTGTCCCGACTTGCCCGATGGTGTCCCGCGGTGTCCCACCGTGGTGTCCCGATGGTGTCTCGTGGTGTCCCGTGGTGTCCTTGGGTGTCCCGCGGTATACCAGTGGACCCCCGCGGTGTCCCGCGGTGTCTTGTGGTGGCCCGCGGTGTCCCGCCGTGGTGTCCGATGATGTTGCGATCAATAGCGAGATCGATCAGATCGATTGCGGCCGAGCGAGATCGATAATGGCCAATATGTGGTGAGTCCGGTAGTGCTATCGATCGATGGATTGGCAGCAGCGCCGATCGTCAGATCGTAGTTGAATCGATCGTGCGAGCGGGAGTGAGATCGATAGTGACATCGGCAATGGCATTGACAGTGCAATTTGTAGCGCGGTTGATAGTATGATCGAGTGCGGTGTAGACAATGAGATTGATCGTGGGATCGATAGCGGCTTAGTGGGATCGATAATGACCGAATTGTGGTAATATCAGTAGTGAGATCGATCGTTGGATCTATCGCGAGGTCGATCGTGAGATCGGTCGTGGCATCGATCGTGCCAGCGCGAGTGTGATCGATAGTGCGACCGATCATTGCATCAACCGTGCAGTCGACTGCGAGGTTAATCGTGCGATCGATGGCCACATCGACAGTGAGATCGATCGTGGGGTCGGTTGCCAGCTCGATTGTGGGATCGTTTGGGCTCGCTTCGGGGATCGAATCGGTATTGACATTGGTAGAGTGGTATAGACAGTAATGCCGATCGTAGGATCGACCGTGAGATCGATTGTGAGTTCGACTGTGGACTCGATCGCCTGTTGAGTGCGATCGACAGTGAAATCGATCGTGAGACCGGTTGTGAGATCGATCAAGTGATATCGGTACTGAGATCGTCATCGCGCGCCGTCGCCAACTCGAGGGCGCGCCACCAGCATCGTCATCATCACACCCATCGCAGTTGCCAGCTGTTGGTTCCTTCCCCTCCCACGAACTCCTTATCACCCGACGGGTGGTCGTATAGATATCGCAACATGCGGTCGCACGCGCGTGCTGTGCAAGTGTTCGCTATTGGGATACATTGGGGGCCTGCGAGTCTGGGTCGGATGAGTCAGCGAGCGATTCAGAGGGATGGCGATGCTGTGGCAAACGTTACGGCAGATCCTTCGCGCATGGACCACTAATCATCTGAAAGTGTCGTAGCGCCTTCGCATGTGAATTTCTAATCTGCCCAAACCACTAGTGGACCACTGAGTGGCCCACTCGCGCTCGTCGCTGCGTCCCGGTACCGCCACCATTTTTCCCCAGACGCTGCGAGGGGGTCGACGGATCTATAATGAGGGCATGTAATTGGCGTCTTCACGGGCAATTCGTGGGGGACTTGGTGGGCGGACGTTTCGCGGGTATTTAAGTTTTGATGCCTCTGAGAGGCAGCGTGACGAGGACCTCAAAGCCCCTTCGGCCATTTCTCTGAGAGGCATCTGCGATCAGGCTGTCCTGCTTCGTTCCCAATCCATTCTTCTGTATGGCACGGGCTTGTGTCGTGTCGACGCGGCGGCGGCCCCCAGTCGTTGGCTTTTACAAGGTGGAGCGCCGGTGAGAGCACTCCCGGAACGCCCTCGCTGAGGCGCACCTGCTGAATCGCCTCCCGAGGCAGGGAAACCTTCCGGAATCGACGGCAACGGCCAGAAGGCTCCCGTCTTGGTGTAGTCACCGCGCGACCATCTCTGGGGCTGCGCTGTCCCACGGGGCGCGCGCCGCCGGCGCTCGAGGGGGCCGGCGGCCGGCGGCTGGACGGCAGGGCACGCAGCCGATGCCCGCGCAGCAGGCGCTGCAGGCGCAGTCGCAGCGGCTGGGCATGCGGGCGCCGCACGCGCCCTGGGCCGCCGACGACGACCCTGGCAGCGGCGACCTCATGGAGGCGGGGAGGGGCGGGTGTGTTTCGCCGAGCGCGTTCCACTACTCGCAAAGTGCCTACTCGCAAACGTCCGAAAAAACATATGTCTGCTTTGATGTAATTTATCGTAGATCCCCCGCGGGGAATCCAGGCCATTTGCGAGTAGTTACTTTGCGAGTAGTGGAACGCGCTCGTCTAGTGTTGGACGCTCGTCTCTGGGGCCTCCCTGGGGCCCACCGAGCGGACCTTTGCGGCTCTTTTTCGGCTCGAGCGCGACGCCAGTTCGACTCGAGTTCGACTCAGCTTCGACTCAGGTTCGACTCAGGTTCGATTCAAGTTCGACTCGAGCCGACGGACGTTCGACGCAGCTTCGACGCACGAGTGCAGCGAGTGGCTCCAGGAAGGTCCCCAGAATGAGCATCTGAGGTGTGAGGTATTTTTATCGTTTTCGTCGGTTCTCGGCAGCATTCCAGCCTCGGGATGCTCTCCAGCAGCTGTGCCTCGTCGGCAGAGCGCTCCGGGGGTGCCCAAATCGTCCCGAACGGCCACCGCAAGCCCGAGCTGTCGTTCGAAAACCATCAGGGGCAACGTCTGGGGGGGTCTGTCAGAGGAGAGCGAGTTGAGACAATTCGGGAGGGAAAAAACACAGACACAATTAATCGTCGATTCCCCGGAAAAGATGGAAAAATATGGGAAGTGGGGGAGAAGACGAAAATCCGAAACATATGGAAAAATATGGGGGACCCAGTTATTTGTGTGTATTTATTTGTGTGTCCTTGGGCCCCTTCTACAATGGCCGCTGACCTTCGGGGTTCCCCCTCGTCGCCATGGCTGGGCGCGGCGCGGGAAACTGCTGCGTTTTGGGCCCCCGGAGGGGTCGAAAGACCGATTTCGAGCTCGGGGGAAGAAACATTGGTCAGGAGGGAAAGAAACACACAGACACAATTAATCGTCGACTCCCAGAAAAACATGGGAAAATATGTGAAGTGGGGGGGAAGGCAGAAACCCAGAAAATATGGGAAAATATAGAGAATCCTTTTATTTGTGTGTATTTATTTGTGTGTCCCAGGGCCCCTTCACATTGGGACCATCACCGAAGTGTCGCGGGATCTCGTCGCTGCCGATCTTGGTCATGGTCCATGTCGGCCGTCGCAGGTTCGAGAGGATGATCCACGAAATCGACGCTGGCCAAGATCGACGGTGACCAAGATCGACACGACGTTTCCGCGCTCTGTCTTGGTCATGGCCCCCGCTTCCTTCCCCTCCATGAGCTGCCTTTGATACAACTCGCCCAAACTCGAAGAAGGATAATAATAAGAAGAAGAAGAAAAAGAAGAAGACAAATAATGATAAGAAGAAGAAGAAGAAGAGCACCTGCATAAGCATGCACTTTTGCAGCTCTGCGCGGGCCTCTCGGGCCGGCGCTGGACCCCCCCGGCCAGATGCGCGCTCCGCGCGCCAGGAAGGGGGTTCCAGCACCGGTCCTCCAGGCCTCCCAGAGGGGTCGGTGGATCGCGCCGCATCGCCGATGCATCGCCGATGCGGCTTGATGCGGAGGCCGATTTTCTCTACGCCGTTGCATCGCCGATGCATCGGCGATGCGGCGCGATCCTCCGACCCCATCTAGTCGGACCCCATTTGGGAGGTCTCTAGCTCCGCGCGCCAGGGAGGGGGGTCTGGCGCCGATCCAAGACATCCGCGCAGATCTTCTGATGATGTTTGTGCTTGCACAGTTTAGCTCGCCGTCGTCTTCTGGTTTGCACACTTGTCTGGGGTCCTCCACACTCTGGAGGGACCCAGCCCGCCCCAGACTTCAGGAGGGAAAAAACACACAGACACAATGAATCGTCGATTTCTCAGAAAATGTGGGAACATATGTGAAGTGGGGGGGAAGGCAGAAACCCAGAAAATACGGGAAAACATGGAGAATCCTTTTATTAGTATGTATTTTGTGTGTCCCAGGGCTCCTTCACAGACAGACAGCGCCTCGGCGCCGATCCATGCGGAGGCCTCTCGCCGCTGTCTCGGCCTCGAGGGAGCCCGCGCACGGCCCCGGAGCCGCCGGCGGAGGGCGTGGCGGAGAGGAAGGGGCAGCGGGGAGAAGCAACACACAGGCACAAGCAGTCGTCGATTCCCAGGAAAGTAGGGGAAGACATTGGAAGCGGGGGGGAAGACGAACGTGCAGAACAGATGGAGGACAAGAACAGGGAATCCTGGGATGGGTGTTTGTTGATTCGTGTGTCCTTTGGCCCCTGCTGGACGGGAGGTCATGTGCGACAACCCAGGCCTGTTCGTGGGCCAGCCCCTCAACAAGCTGGGCGTGTTCCTTGGCGAGCACAGCGGCGCGGAGGACCGCCCTGGATAACGCCATGTTCCGCGGGCGTCGGAGGGTGGGGAAGTTTTTCTCTCCTCCATGACCACCAGAGGTGGGGTCTGGAGAGGTCAGGGGGCAGAAAAGTAGAGAGCGGAACGCGAGCTGCAGGGTGGCTTTGCGGAGAGCACAGGGCAGGGAGTTCATCATACGGAGTACGGAGTAGAAACCACAGGTGAAACAGCACAGAGCAGATAGTATGTACATTGAACATCGAGTCGGACCTCAGATAGCAGAGATAGGGAGGGATACTTATATCTATGTGCATGCATATTCATATAGTAGATGTGCTGATGTATATACAAAGATAACGGGAGAGAGAGAGAGAGAAGAGATAGAGAGAGAGAGAGATAAAGTGAGCATGGTTATACGAGTGAGAGGTTAGAGGGTAGAGGGCAGACCGTAGATGCCATGTCGTGAGTAGAGGGTACTGGGTCGAGATTAGGTGGGTAGTATAATTGAGGGGGGTTAGGATTACAGAGCATTGGGTACATAGGCTCTGAGAGAGCAAAGAAGACAAATAATAATAAGTAAGGGTGTGCAGAGCATGGAGCATGGATTTGGGGGGTGGCATGGACTATTGAGCTGGGGGCAGTAGGGTGTCCGTTGCATAGGGCATGTGTGAGGGAGTGCAAGACAAGGCGGATATTATTCGGATTTGCGAGTGCACGGTGAAGAGCAGAGAACAGAGAGTAGAGAGTTGAGACCATAGGCTAGCAAGTAAAAGCTTGAAGGAGCGCACGACAGGGAAAGAGTGCCAGTAGATGCACCTCTAATTGAAGGGGGATGGTGCTCGCACCCCCCCCTTCGGAGCTGGTTTTGGCCGCGGCGGCGGCGGCGGCGACGGAGGACATCATTTGTCGGCCTGCCAGTCTGGTGGGGCGCTGGATTGTGGCGGTGACGGTGTTCAGACTGGCCTTCGCGGTGCTCGAAGGGACCGACGAGTGGATCGGGGAATTGTCGATGGATGAGGTGAGCGCGCCCCTCCGGATTCCACCCGCGGCGCGGGCGGAGCAATCAGCAACTGCGCCGCTGCCCATCTACGCGGAGTCGGACCTGGAGGCGCCCTGGCTGCCGAGAGCGCGCATGACGGACGCGTCGATCGAGGGGCACGCGGCATGGGCGCGCGACTTCTCGTCGGGGAAGGCGCGAGCAGAGACGGCGAGAGGGTCAGAGGGCCTCTCGGCGCCGCGGGCGGAGGAGACCTGCGCCGAGCTAAAGAGGCGCGGAGGCCGAGTGGGGCGAGGATGCAACCCCCGGCATGCCCGACTCGGGCAGGCCGGGTGCGTTGGAGCCGTTCATGGGGGAGCTCTCGATTGCTGGGCGCGTTGAAGGAGCTGGCCGACTCGCGGGGAGAGGGGCGCGGGGCGTGGCAGTCGTTCTGGCGAGCGAGAACCTGGGGCTGCTTTTGCGCCTAATCCGACAGGGCGGGTGCTGGCGGGCGCGCCTGCCCCCCCCCCCCGCCCCCTGTGCAAGGGTGTCCCCACTGAGGAGTCGCGAGGACATCTGAGGCCCCCGCGGGCTGGGCGCGAAGATCTAGAGGGCTCAAGGCTGCTTCCCAAATGAGTCCGGACACGCCACGAGGGCCGTAAAGAAGGCCGCAGGTTTCCAAAACGGCCCCAACACGCCCACCAAAGCCGCCGTGCTGCCCACGAGGCATTCAAAACGCCCAAAAGGAGGCTCCAAACTGCCCTCCGAGAGAGCTGCACTGAGGAGAAACAATAATGTCCTGTCGTTCTCAGTGCTTGGTAGTTAATCGTCTGCTCCGCTTCCCGACGCGCGGGGACAGCCCAAGAGGCATCCACGAGAGCCCCTGCACACCGTGAGAAGGCTTCCTAAGGAACTACGAGCCTCGACGCTCCAAAGGGGTTCTACACGCGGCAGAGGAGCAACAAAAGGCTTCCCAAATGAGCTTCGACACCCCGACAGGGCCCTGCAGAGGCCTCTGCGATGGCCCCAGCACGGCCGCAACCATCAGGTTCCTGGAGATTCTTCTGGGAACGTGACTGTCGTCGCCCATCATCGCAGCAGGACGTTCTCCAGCATTTCAAATGAGCCCCGGCACACCGAAAGGGGCTCACAGAGGCCTCCACGAGGGCTCCCACACGGTGCGTTTTCAGATTCCCGGAGAACCTTCCAGGAACCCGATTGTGGAAAATTGTTGCTGTTCAGCTTCAGCCCTTGGATGGGTCCGCGGGCCTGGAGTCGTCGTGGTCGCCGTCGTGGTCGTGGTCGTGGTCATGGCCGTGGTCGTGGTGGTCGTCGTCGTCGTCGTCGCCGTCGTCGTCGTCGTCGTGGTCGTCGTCGTCGTCGTGGTCGTCGTGGTCGTCGTCGTCGTCGTCGTCGTCGTCGTCGTCGTCGTCGTGGTCGTCGTCGTCGTCGTCGTCGTCGTCGCCCTTCAATTCGGCAGGTCCGCGCGCGGGCTTGGCGTGGTCGGACGAGGAGGAGGGGAGGGAGGAGGAAGGGGAGGAGGAGGAGGCTGAGGAGGAGGGAGGGTCTAGGGTATGGCCTGCCCTAGGGCCCAGAGTAGGGCCTGTGGTGGCCTACACCCCTTCTGGTGCATAACTCCCCAGGGCGTGGACGGGGCCTTGAGCCCCTAGGGAAGCCCCCCAGCGCCCCCTTACGACGGCGCAGAAGCCCAAGCGGTTGCTCGGAGGTCCCATCGAGGCCCACCGATGTGAATCACCGAAGGTCAACCTTATGGGCCTTTGGGTGGTGCTCCCTGTGTGGACGATTCGCGTGATTGGGTGTGCCACAATGGGCGGGGGGGGCGCAATGCGGACCCTGCCTCTGGGGCCACAGGTGGAGTGTGCTAGGCGGGGGGGGGGCGGCATGCGAACCTTGCCTCTGGGACCGTCCGTGGGACTCCCTGCGGGCCACGACCCGTGTGAGAGGTGTGCTGAAGTAAGTTGGGCAACGCTATGAAGTTTCCCTCTGGTGCCGCACATGCAGTTATTTACTGGGCACGACCCGCGTCGGAGGCGTGCCACTATGCGAACCTTGTCTCTGGGGACCAAGGTGGAGATCCCTACGGGGCGCGATCCCTTGGAGGGATGTGCCGACATGGGCGGGTTGAAGCTGAGCCAAGCCTGTATTTGGTGCCGTCGGAGCTCCCATGAGTGGCACCCTCCGTGTGACACTATAAGTCCTCCGACGCCGATTATTGTAGACTACAATCAGAACTTGCTAGAACCTAAGCGCGTGGCTCTATGCTAGTACATATCTATATATGTATATAATATGTTTTATACACATCTATAGATGTACACATCTAGGTCAGCCGTCCCTGGTCTCTGGTGGTGGTAGTGAAGTAGGCCCACTGGCGCCGCATGACCATCAACAGGGCGGCCGCAAGAGTTTTCCCAATCATCCTGTGGTGTTGGGTCCTCGTTTTGACAAGACAGCGCCCCGCGTTCCTCCTCCTCCTCCTCCTCTTCCTCCCCCTCATCCCACCCCTGCCCCTGCCCTCCGTATGTCCACAATTTCAGCGCACCCAGTACAGCGTGTTGTGGTCCCATCGGGGGCTCCACCGAAGGCCCCACTGGCTAAGACCACGTGCGTCCCGCGCCGCCCAGTACGTCGTCTCGTGGCCCACATCGGAGGCTCGCGCGCTGCACGAACCCAGGCAGATGCCTAGGCAGGTCCCGAGGGACCATCACCCCCGGAGGGGTGAAGATAGTGGTAGTTGTTGTCCCGGACGGGTATGTACTGGAAGTACTGCCTGCCTGGGTCATCCTCGAGGACATGGCTCAAGCTTGGGTATGAACTGCTCGCTGGTCGAGGTATGTTTGGTGGGGCTCGCGGAGGAGGAGCTGCTGAGTCGGACTGTGAGTTGGGAGCGCCCCAACGCTCTCTCAACACATGTCGCCTGATCTTGGCAAGGCATATCAGATTGTGTTGCCATTGTTCCTTGTAGTTTTGGGGCAGCCGAGAGGGCCATCCTGTCCTTCTTTCAAATGCAGAAGACGGCGTCACCATACCGACGCGGAAGCACGAGAGTGCGGGGAAGGCCCCAGTGGCTGTGAACACATGCGCCCCGCGCCACAGCGTTTCGTGGACCCTTAGGAGTTCAACCGAAGGCCCCACCCCGTCCGGCGCTTCGTGGCCCCATATGGAGGAGTTGCACCGAAGGCCCCAGTGGCTGTGACCACATGCGTCCCGCGCCACCCAGTACAGCGTTTTATGGCCCCATTGGGAGCTCCACCGACGGCCCCAGTGGTTATGGAGACATGCGTCCCGCGCCACCCAGTACATCGTTTCGTGGCCCCATAGGGAGCTCCACCGAAGGCCCTAGCGGCTGCGAACACATGCGTCCCGCGCCACCCACTATTCCGTTCCATGGCACCAGTGGGAGCTCCAGCGAAGGCCCCAGTGGTTGTGACCACATGCGGCCCGCGCTGCCCAGTACGTTGTGGCCCCATAGGGAGCTCCACCGATGGCCCCCGTGGCTGTGACCACATGCGTCCCGCGCCACTCAGTACGGCGTTTTATGGCCCCATGGGGAGCTCCACCGAAGTCCCCAGTGGTTGTGACCACATGCGTCTCGCGCAACCCAGTACGGCGCTTCCTGGCCTCCTAGGGGGCTCCACCGAAGGCCCCAGTGGCTGTCACCACATGCGGTCCGTGCAAAAAAGGTACGGTCTTTCGTGGCCCCATGGGGAGCTCCAGCGAAGGCTCCAGTGGCTGTGACCACATGCGTCCCGAGCCACCCAGTGCGTCGCTTCGTGGCCCCATACGGAGCTCCACCGAAGGCCCAGTGGTGACGTTCGCATGCGCTCCCCCGCCCATCTCGGCATACCCCTCACGCGTTTCGTGGCCCCATAGGAAGCTCCACCGAAGGCCCCAGTGGCGATGTCGCATCGCGGCCCCGCTCCTTGTCGGCGCACCCTTCACACGTTTCATGGCCCCATATGGAGCGCCACCGAAGGTCCCTATGGCTGCGTCCGTATGCGTTCCCGCCCCATTTCGGCACACCCTTTCCACGCTTCGTGGCCCCAAAAGAAGATCCTCCGAAGAAGATACCCACAACGGCGATACTCACAACTGCATTTGGTCGGGCCCCTTCGCCATGATCCATCCTTTCGCCAAGAGGATATGTTCAGAGCGAGTCCCTCGGGAAGGGTCTGAGGGGGCACATCTGCAGGTGCGAGGTGGACAGGGTGGTCGATCTTGGATGTTGGGGCTGTCCTCGAGGTCGCTTCGTTTGGCTTTAACCTGAGGTCATTATGAGGTTCCCATGTGGACAACCCGATCTCCTATCCGAGTGATCTTCGACCCTTTCGATATTTGCCTTCCGTCCCTCTTGGGCCCAGCTTGGCACGCTCGCGTTTTGAAATTATGGGCAAGGGGAGAACCAGAGACGGGGGTTGGAGGAGTGAGGCGGCGAGGAGGAGAATGAGGAGGAGAGGATGAGGACAGGATGAGGAGGACCATGGTCTCATGGTGAGGCTCGCGGGATCTCCTGCTGCTCCCCAGGGCGCGACGAACTCCCGGCGGCAACACCGTGCCCTTGACGGCAATGAGCCGGTCGCGGCCATATAGACGATGCGGGCAAGGACAGATCGCCATGAGAGAAGGTGTCCTCAGAAGACTGGGGCTTAGACCCGGGGCGTTCCCCACGAACAGTTCTTTCATCCCGAGCCATTCTGAAAGGCGACGGGGCCAGGGATCATGCCCCCTCGAAATCTGAGAACGAAATCCAGGACACCGTTCTTCCATATGACGCCATTCCTTCGTGCTAAAGAGAAGAAGTGGGCATTGGTGAGGAGGGGGAGGAGAAGTGTAAAGCAAAGATAGGATTTGCGATGCTGCAATATTCCCTCCCGTCCCAAGTCCCCTCCGCATACATCCTTGCAAGACATCCTTTTCAGGAGGCGCCCCCCCACTCTGAAAGACCAGCACAGTTGGGTCCGCCAATGATAAGAGGGCCCCGATTTGAAAAGGAATTGCCTTGTACCGTTCTGTAAGAGCCGGACGGTCAGGGCTCTGAGCGTGGCAGGAATATGCGTAGACGCGCAGCACGGTCGAGGCTGAGTGGTCGCAATTGATTTGCTGTTACCGCGGCTCCTCCTGCTGGCGGATCCTCTTTCTTGTCCTCGTTCTCCTCCTTCCTCATCGCTGCTGCCGCCGCTCCTCCAGCCTCCCTCCTCTTCAACCGCTTCCTCTTCCCTTGTCTCGGAGCAGAACATAGCATACGCACAAGCGTTCGGAGGTCTTGGATCGGCGCTGGGTTCACCCCTGGCGGCGCCTGCGGCGTCGCCTCTGGCGCGCTCCGCTCGCCAGGGAGGGGGGTTCAGCGCCGATCCAGGGAGTCCGCGCGGACTTCCGAACGTTTACGGGTATGCTTTTTCCAAATCGAAGAAGCAATTAAGCCTAGAAGTATGCCAAGCGCAGGTAGCTTTCACCCTCAAGAGGCTCTTCAGCCTAAATGGCACTGCACAGAAGCATCGGGTGAAGGTCACTCGCATGTATTGCTGTCTAACGAATCGGATGAAGGCCACTCGCATTTGTTACACAAATCAGCACCTTCTCCGCAATTTCCTCCTCCCTCGTGGTTCGCGGCCGCGTGGGGTCGCCGCGAGAGTTTCCCTGGGTGGCGCACGGCCGGGCAGCGGTTGGCCCCCGTCGGCGATGGCATGCGGACAGTCGTGGCCTCTCGTCTGGAGGCCCGCGGCAGTTGTTCTCCACCCGACGTGAGGCGTTCCAGAATGGGCCCCGCTTTCCAGGATCGAAGGGGTTGTCATCTCTTCTTCGGCAGAAGGCGGCGGAGGGGCGCCGGGAGCCTGCAGACCGGCTCCACCGGCGGAAGCCGGCGGAAGCAAAAGTTTGCCCTCCAGGAAGTGATGCTTTTGGGGGATTCAGGGTTTCCAGAACCCTTTACATGTGGGTGTTGTTCGACTTACGGTCAGGATGTTTTGCTTAGCGTGTCGGCCTGCCGGTTCTGGCCCGCCGCCCTTCGGAGCGACACGCGATCAATTTCCCAGTCCCCGAGCGTCAACGTCCCGAGTCTTGCCAAGCCTCCCGCCCCGCGGAGCGGAGCGACGCGCAATCTGCTTGCAAGGCCCAGCGTTTCTCTGGGGCCGCCGCCGCGACACGCTATGCAAAATGTCCTGCTTCCTGGGGCCAGATGGGGGGCTGAGGAGGCCCATCATTGGTTCCGGCCAGCAGATATGGAGGGAGAGAGGTCCTTCACTCGTCGCCATAGCTGGACGCGGCCAAAAACACTGGTCAGTTTCAACCCCAGGAGGAGTCCGAGGACCGATTTTGATCGGATTTGCCTCCAACGTCCCATCTTGACCGATTTTCTCAGGGTTTATTCAGCTCAGCCTCTGGTCCGCCTCCAAATAAGGAAAGAGCTCCCGACCCGAATCGCACAGCTTGCATACCGCGGCCACCAGGCCCCAAGTGTGCAGGTGCTCCCTGGGTATCCCGCTTCGTGTCTTCGGCGAACAACGGCTGCATGCCGCGGCCGCCAGGCTCAAAGTGCGCCGGTGTTCCTTGGGTTTCATAGGTCGAAGGCTGCAGCGAGTGGCCGCCGAGGCGCGCGGTTCAAGCGAAGCCGCTTCAGTTGGGCAGTTCGGTTGCTCTTTGCATCCAGGCCGGTTTTGTTGCAACTGGTTCCTCACTCGTCCTCCACTTCCTTGGCCTCCTCTCCTCACCTTCGTCTTCTCTTTCACCCCCCTCGTGGTGGGGTGTGGGGGGTAGGGGTTGGCTGAGTGTGCTGCGTCGGCGAATCAGAGCATGAACCCCCGTGGCGCCCCTGCTTGAGGCCATGTGCGTGCCTAGGCTTAGACATGTGTGCACGTTCTTGTGTACATCCGCCCACCCGCCGATCTCCAAACTCTGGGCGCGTTACCTGCCAGATCATACAGTAACGCGCCTAGTGAGGACGCGCGCCTTCGTCTACGGTACTGTTGTGTCCTTGCCTCTGCGGCCCGTGCTTTGCCGTTTTCACTGGTCGCCCGCGGCCCAACAATTCCCAACTTCGGCCTCCAAGGGTCTTGCTTAGCACCCGTCCCCACTACACGTTTTGATGGAATGGCGTTCACCACCACCCTCCTCCGTCCTCCCTCCTCGTGCCCCCCTCTCTCCTCTTCGTCCCCTCCCCGCTTCCGCTCCAGGCGCGCACTGAATGCACGAGGCGCCGCAAGTGCACATACACACATACGCACACACGCGCACACACACAAGCGCACACAGGCACACACATACTCGCACAGACACACACACATACGCGCACACACACACACACGCACACACAAACAAACACAAACACAAACACACAAACACACAAACGCATATTCACACATACCCGTACCTATGCACAACACACACGCAAACACACAAGCACACACAAACACACAATCACACACATACGCACAACAACACACACACACAAACACGCAACACACAAACACACAAACACACAAACACACACGCAAATCACACAAACACGCAAACACACAATCACAAGCTCACAATCGCACACAAACACACAATCACACACAAACACACACGCAAAGACACAGCACACACACACACACGTGCGTACTGGCGGTCACGTGCACGCGCTCGGATGTGTGGCGCATGGGGAACACGCGCCGCTTATCAGTATGATCGCTGGCGCTGCTTGTGAGTCGGCCCCTGATCGGTGGTTCGAAGATGGGTTCCTGAGGGATGGGCTCCTGAGGACGTTGTGCCTCAAACAATGTAAATTATCCCTTGGGTCCCTTCTGGATCCCTTCCTATCATTAGGACCTCATACCCCCACTTTGAACCACCGACCTGAGTCCGACGCCTGGCCTGCCGAGGTCCGGGTTCGGACCAGGTTGGACTGCCCGAAGGCGGCTTCAGGGAATGTCAGACAGGTGAATGCAGGGAAATGATGATGGCGATGACGACTGCGATTGCGACTGCGCTTCATCTGCGGCTACGCTTATGGTCATGGTCACGTTCTGGACTACCATTGAGGAGGAGTAAGAGGAAGAGTACGGGCGCGATGAGGCACTCGAGGAGGCGGATGTGAGGACGAGGGGGATATTGATGATGACGCGGAGTGGCCAATGAAGAAGGATGATGATGATGCTGATGATGATGCTGATGCTGATGCTGATGCTGATGATGCTGATTATGTTGTCGAGGGTGATGAGGATGATGATAAGGAGGAGGAGGAGGAGGACGATGCTTCTGCTACTTGTGATGATGACGATGATGATGGTGCGGATGATGATGATGGTGTTGATGATGTTGATGATGATGGTGATGATGATGGTGATGATGATGGTGATGGTGATGATGATGGTGATGCTGATGATGAAGAAGAGGATGAGGATGAGGAGGAGGAGGAGGAGGGTGAGGATGATGCGGGGGAGGGCAGGCAGGAGGAAGAGGAGGATCGATCGATCGATGTATCGAGCTCTCGGGCCGTTCGCCGTTCTGTGCTTCACTGTCTCGACTGGAGCATGACAGTGGTTGAAAATCTAGTGCGGTCTGGCTGCAGTCGCTCCGCCGAGAGGGGGTCGCTGGCGCCAGTAGGCGTTCGGGTCCGACCTGCTGCACCGTCCTCCTCCGCGCAGGGGTCTGCAGGCAGGGTGGCACCCGCTGTTCACAGATGCCCTCGAGCTTGCATCTTAGAGGTTGGCACCAACACCAATTTCGGAGGTGTGCTTCCACCGAGGGAAGAAGATCCCGATCTCGGTGATGGTGGTAATATTCTGGCTTCCAAGGTGGCCGAACTATCACCACCAACACCGAAATCTAGGATCGTCTTCCCCCTGTGAAGGCATCCCCCTGTGTTGGTGTTGGTGGCCACTTCCAGGCCTCCAATTTGTTTGCCCTTTGTCCTGAGCCAGCCCCCCCCCCTCCCCCCTGCCGCGGCTCTTCGGGTCTTGGAGGTCGTGGGGGACGGTGCGTCACGCAGTATTCTGGAGAGCCTTGCCCTTTCATTCGGAAGATCGGTGGCGAGTTCTGTCCCGGAGGTGGGGGAAAGCCTGCTTGTCCGTGCCAACTCTCGGGACCTTCCTCTGCGAGCGGACACTTCTGGCACTGCAACAAGGAGGGAGGTGTCAGAAACCGATGTACTTCCGACTCCGTGCTCCTGGGCCGAATTGTTGTTTGTTGCCCCTCGGGTTGCCTCACCCGCTGCCGGTTCACAAGACGACCTAGCCCCCCCTCGGTGCAGCTCCCACGCGGCGTACAGCTCCCTCGGCCTTCAGCTGGGTGATCAGAACTGTGCAGAGCTGGTGCTGAGTGTTGTGAAACTGGAACTGTAACCTGCACTTGTCGTTGTCGCCGCCCTGCTGCGATTTGCCCTTGTTGCGCCTGATGCGAAGTACTGGTACTGCGTCCGCCGCTCCTTCTGACGTCGGTGCGAGGATGGCCTGCTGGTAATACTGCGTGAGATGTTGTTTGAGCGCTCCTTCTGGCAGCACCCTCCCCAGGTGCGTGCACACCTCCGCCCATACTCTCGCGTGGGGGCTGCCGAGCGAAGGTGCGCCCGCCGGTGCTGCGCCTGGGCCCCCTCGCTGTAAGCTCTGCCTGCTTCGAGTCCCGACGGTGCGATGCCTGCCGATGCATTGATCTCCCATGCCTGTAACGCTGCCGCCGCCAACTCCGCCTGCTCTGTGGCCGGCGTCGGCGCCAACCTTGCCGTCAAGTCGATCATCCGGGTTTGGACCACCGCTCCTTTGCCAGCTCCCCGGCTGGCCACGAGTCGGTCTCTCTGTCTGCTCCTGCTGCCTCTCGCCGCCGCTGTTCCCCTCCGCTGCCTGCTGTTGCCCCACTTCCTCCTGGCGCCCACGCCCAAGCTGGCCTCTGCTCGAACACCGGCATCTTGTGGCCGTCTATCTCCGTCCAGCATTCTGTTGTGTGTGAGCATCTGCCTCGGCAAGTGCGTGCAATCATGTTTTAAACAGCCGACTATGTGCAAGCGGAAATGGATGGGCATAGTTTGCTCTGAGCTGCATGCTGTGTCGAAGCCGCCTGATTATTTGTCTTACCCTCCCTGCAACATCCGAAAGAGCGCGTTCTGTGGTTCGAACGGGGCCCCTCCCCCCTGAGATGCAGGAGGGGGGTGGGAACCAGGTCCCCCTCCGTTCGAAGCGCTCCCCCCCCCCCGAGTTGCAGGGTGGGGTCGAACTTAGGGACCTAGGGGACTCCCACCCCCTCCTTGTGCAGGGGGGGGGGTTCGTTTGGGAGAAGGCCCCCCTCAATTGTCGGGGGCATCCGAAGCGCGGCCCCCCCGCTCCTCTCTCAAGGGAAGGGGGGGTGGGGGGCATGGGGGGTGGTCGAACCGTGAAGGGGCACCCTTCCCCTGGATTGCAATGGAGCGGGGGTTCGAACCCGATCGAATGGGGCCTTCCCTGCAACCGGCGTCTGCGAGCCCCGGCGCCGGCGCCGTCGGGCAGCGACGACGACGACGACGACGAAGGTGATAACGCCCCCCGCTCCTCCGTCCTCCCCCTCCTCCCTTCTCCCTCCTCCTCGTCTTCCTTCTTCCGTCTTCCTTCACTAGCCCCTCTTGGGCCAGAGGGCATTCCCTTGCAGAGCTGTCGCGCTCATGGCCTACGGCGCCATGCCTCCAGATCCGATCAGTTTTCCCATGGTTTAGTCTCTCAGTCGCAAGGCCACTGTTACCGTCGGATCTTTCGAATTTTGGTCTGGCCTGGTTCTCTTTCTCTTCCCTCCTGCCCTTCCTCCTCCTCCTCCTCCTCCTCCTCTTTCCCGTAGCCATTTTGGCTCAAGATGCTTTGTTCCACAGGGGAACGCGTGGATACCGCTAGTCCGCGGCCAGTTTTCAGTCCTTCCCCTGGTCAGCCCCAGGGCGAGCGCCGAGGTGGTCCGCCCCACCTCGGCGCGTCTCTCTCATCCCAGGCATGGTGCCGCAGCCGCCAGCGGTCACTGTGCTCCGAGGCCCGCGCAAACCCCACTGGTGCTGCGGGCAATGCGGGCGCGCGGAGAACTGGGCGTGCCGCATCCAGTGCCTCTGCGGCCGTGACGCGCCTGCTGCCATCGTCTCGCGTGCTCGCCAGAAGCACAAGGAGGCCGATGCTGGCGGAGGCGGCGGCAAGAAGGCGGGCTCCAAGCAAGGAGGCTCGGCGACGCAGGGCATCCCCAAGCAGCTCGCGGAGTGGATGCAGGCCATCGAGAAGCGCTTGGCGCCGCCCGACAAGGAGTGGCCCAAGCCTGGCGGCACAGCGCCGTGGCGCGAGGCCGCAGACGGCGCCGACCCTGATAAGAAGTCGCAGAGTGCCAAGCTCGGCGAGCGGATCACGGAGCCCGAGGAGTGCTTCAAGAAGCTTCCACCCGCCGACGAGCGCAACAAGGATCTCCGGGGTCCGATCGAGAAGCAGATGGAGACGCTGCGTGCGGAGAAGCGTGCGCTACTGCCCCCCCAGGCCCTCCATCGGCGCACGCAGCAGGATCTGCAGCGGGCGCGGAACGGCCTGGAGAAGTTGGAGAAGGAGTTGGGTGAGAAGGAGCGCCAGCTTGATGAGCTGGCCAAGGGCATCGCGACGCGCAAGGAGACCATCGCAGCCAAGAAGTTGGAGGTGGCGGCGCTGGATGCAGCGCTCAGCGAGTCGGCCAAGAACGTCACCACCGTTGCGGCCGACATCGACCTTGTGGAGGAGGACGTGGCCGACCAGCCCGACCTCGTCGCGCTCCTCAAGTCTGAGGCATGGGTCAAGCTCAAGTCGGCGGTCGCCAGCAAGGCTGCTGCCCGTGCTGCCAGCGCTGGGACTGTTCCTCCTGCTGCTGATGCTGCTGATGAGGCTATGTCTGCCCCCACGGAGGTGCAGAAGTGGGCCCTCTATCACGTTCGGAGTGAAGGGGGCATCGATGACTTCACGTCCGCCTTCGACACCATGTGGTCCGAGCTGGCGGCCAAGCGAGCGCGGCATTGGTAGTCCTGCGACTGCCTGGCCTGACGTTTGCGGGCTGCCTGGGCGTGGGCTGGCGCCGCCGAGCGGGGCCAGGCCGACGGTCGGTGCTGAGTTCAGCATCGAGACCTACAACGCCAGCGGCGGCAAGGCGTCTGTCAAGAAGCGCCTCGCCAGCACGATGGCGAGCGTGGTGCTGATGCAGGAGTTCGGGCACATCAACGAGCACGTTGAGGCCTTGGCTTCATGGTGCGGCGTGCGAGGTTGGAGGCTTATGGCGTTGCCGAGCCTGCCGACTTCTGGTTCTGTGCCGTCGGCAGGAGTTGCTGTTGCCGTGCGCGGTCGTCTCGGACTCCGTCTTCCTACCATCGGTGCGCATGATGTCGTCCCGAACCGACTTCAGCATGTTCTTATATATATATATATATATATATATATATATATATACCCGAGCTGCCTGTCGGCCTGCATGCCTTCAACGTGTACCTGCACACCGGTGAGTGCGCCGCTGGCCGCAACGGCAGGCCGTTGCAAGAGTTGGGCCTCGCTGCTGAGGCACTGGACGGTCCAGTCGTCGTTGGCGGTGATTGGAACATGTGCCCAGGCGAGTTGGAGGCGAGCCAGTTGCCCGCTCGTGTTGGTTGTTCGATTGTGAGCTCGTCTTCCGTCACGTTTCCAGGAGGTACAGATCAGTATGTCATCGATGTGTTCCTCCTCAACTCAGCGGCCATGAGGATGTATGCCAGTGTGGGCATTGATGTCAGGTGGGCCAAGCGAGGCCATCGGCCTGTTCATGCTGTCCTCAAAGGCGACGCTGAGCACGTCAAGCGGCTGGTCTACACGGTGGCGCCAAAGATGGGCACCCAGACCATCATCGGGCCGCGAGCGCAGCCGCCCACCTACACCAGCGATCGGTGTGTTGCCGAAGCTGATGTCCAGTCCTGTGGCGATCCTGAGTCTCCTCCTGGAGTTGGATGGGGCCTTCTCTCGGCGGCGTGGGGCCACTTCGCGGTCACAGCCGCGGAGGCTATTGCTAACGCTGTGGGTCATCAGGGTTGCGAAGTTCTTTATGGTTTCGCTCGTTACTTGCAACCTCGGTGGATCGACACCACCTATACGGTCAAGGACGCGTCCGACCTGCAGGCAGCGGCAGAGGGTTGGCAATGGTTGCGGCCTTCCCTCCTCAGCATCATGCAGTGCAGGACGATGGCCAACCCGTCCGCGCAAGACTTGGCCATGGCTGCCGAGGAGATCCTCAATTTCACTACGGCCAACTACCATGGGCAGGGTCTTGCCACGCGCCTCGATCGATCTGTTCAGCAGGCGCGCGGCATGGTGCAGGCTGGCTTCGAGGAGGAGGAATGCCGCGAGCTCCTAGGGGACATCGAGCTTGACGTCAAGCTCGCGGTCAATGGAGCTACCCAGGAGGACCACCAGAAGTGGAAGGAGTTGTGTGCCATGGCCGTTTCCAATGGCTCACGCGTCCTCCACCGTACTACGAAGCACCGTGACGTTGCTCAGCCTACGGTGGTCCCAACGGCCCATGGTGTGTCGGCTCATGCGCGCGATGTTGTTCGGCATGGAGTGGAGTTGTACAAGAGGTTGTGGTCCAGCTCCCTTCCAGTGCCAGCATGGGTCCCTGACCGAACGGCGCTGCCGAAGGTGAATCCTGGCGAGATACGCGCAGTTGCGCGATCGTTCTCGCACAACACCACGGCAGCGCCTGATCATTTTCATCCTCGTCACTTCCTTCTCTTGGAGGATCAGGCCCTCGAGGTGGTCGCCCTAATGTTCAAGGCGATGGAGTCCCTGGGACTACCGCCGAGGCAGCTGTGCTGGTTGATCACCGCGATGCTACCCGAGACGTCTGGTTCTGGCAATCGGTTGGTGGTACTCTATGCTGGGCTCTACAGGATTTGGCAGCGGATGCGTCGGCCAGTGCTTCGAGAGTTGCAGGAACAGATTGACAGGCCGTACTGGGGCGCTGCTCGTGGGCGGTCCTCCTTTGACTGTGCGTGGCTCCAGGCGGCCGAGGGCGAGGCCGACAGCAAGCAGGCTTACCGCGGCGCACTCGCAGTTGCCGATTTCAGCAAGTACTACGAGCGCACTCCTTTGACCAAGCTGCCAGTTTCAACGCGCCCACGGCCTTCCGGAAGTTGGTCTACAACATGTGGCGCGCGCCACGTGTGCTGGGGTTAGCTGGTCATCATGCGGAGCAGGCCCTTTGTGCTGAATGCGGCCTCCCTGCTGGAGATGTGTTTTGCGATGTTTCGATCAAGGTATGGTCTGTGAGGGAGTGCGACAGCTTCCTTGTCAGGCAGCCGTTCATTCAGTTCGTGAGCTACATTGACGGCAACTCGATTCGAGCGTCGTCTACCACGGTGAGAACGACTACTTCCATGATGGTCAACGCAATGCTGGAGTTCAGGGACACGGTCACGGAGCCCGACGCGATCATCAACGACAAGCTAGTGATTGTCGGCACCAGCCTCTCCCTTGCGCAGGGCATCGTGTCCAGGCTAGGCCTGCCTGCCTCCGCCGCGAGGCGCAGTGCGGTCTATGTCGGCGTCGACGTCAGCGAGGGCAGCAGGAGGGCCGACCAGGGAGTGCTCACCAAGCGCGCCAAGCGCAAGGTGCATATGATGAGGCGCATGCGGAGGATCAGGCGCTTCGGCATGGTCATCACTGGCCACAAGGCGCAGTCTATAGGCCGCGTCATCCGTGCTGGTCCCTTGCCCGAGGCCACCTGCGGCAGCGAGGTCGTCGGGCTCAACAACTCGGAGTGGCTGAGGTGCAGGCGTGGTGTCGCTCGAGGCCAGTTTCCCGTGCATGGTGGTGTGAGCCCCATCGAGCAAGACTGTCTTGCTCGGTGATGGCGCCGCCGCATCCGCCATTGCGCCTGCCATCCAGTGGTGCAGAATGTTGTGGCAATCGGAGATCTACAGACACCCGCTAGCTGTGCGTGCTCGGTTGTTGAGGCTATGGCGCGAAGCCAAGCCATCTCAGGTCGCCGACAGGGCATCTAGTCGTAGCCCCTTGGCTCGAGCTGTGCTAGCTGCGCAGCGTGCGGGCTGGCGAGTCTTGTCTGCGATAAGTTGGATGGACCATCGAGGAGCTACAATCGACGTTCGCAGAACGCCTCCGAGTATTCGTTCAACTCTCGTGTTTGCTGGCATTCAGCGTCAGCGCGAAATTGATTTGGCCATGCAGCTGGGGGCCCCGACATGTTACAGAGCCTCGCTCGACTTCGCTCGGTCGGCGGTCGGCGGTCGGTCCCGACGGCTCTCCAGTCTGCAGAAGCCGCTTGTTGGGAGCTGCTCATGCCGCGGAATCTGGGCCAAGGCCCGCGCCCAGGCTGCTGGCTACATTTGCGATGGCCTCTGTGCGTGCGGCCAGAGGCAGACGATCAAGCACTGCTTGTATGAACGCATGCTGCCTGCCGTCGCCGCCGCCGCCCGCGCCGAGGCTAAAGTCCGCCCGCTATTCATCAGCGCAGGTATCGGGTCTGACTTTCCCGTCTTTGTGCAAGGAGTTTCCCTGCGTGATGAGGAGGAGACCCCCCCCCCCCTTCCTGCTCGGATAAAGTGGCCCTCGAGGGCCATGAGGGGGAGGAGTTGGCGGTTGAGGTTGAGGGGGTGGCGTCTCTCGTTCAGGGTCCTCGATTGGACGTAGCCCCCGACGGCTCCTGCACACGACCAGGCTTAGTGGAGCTTGAGCGCGCGTCGTGGGCAACTGCAGCGCTGTCTCCTGAGTCACATGTGCCCGTGGCAGTAATTCGAGGCCCTGTTGCAGGCAACCTCCCGCAAACGCCGAGTATCGCCGAAAGTGTTGCGCTTTGTTTGATTGACCAGATCGCCGACCGCGAGACCCTGGCTGGCAGCGATTGCATCTCTCGATTCGGCGATTCCAGCAGCCTGTTCAAGCTCAGCCGCGCGCGTCCAACCAGGCAGCTGGCATTCTGAAGTTCGGTCGTGGCCTGGAAGGCCACCAATTCATTTCGATTCGGCACGTCAAGGCTCATCGGTCCCAGGAGCAGATTGACAGTCTGTCGGGCGAGGAGCGCCACTGGGCTGAAGCGAACCGTTTCGCCGATCACCATGCTAAACTTGCCGCCAGTTTACACCCTGCTCCGTCGCCAGAGTTTTTGGCCAAGCTTGATCTCGCGAGGAGTCGGGCCGCCGATTTTGTGGCGTTGGCTGCTGCCGTTCTCCCGTGCTTCCTCGAGGAGAGGCCGCAGCGGTGGCGGAGACCCACAGCACTGTGCCGAAAGAGGAACTCTCGGGGGGAGGGGTGGCACTCTTGGGGTCTGGGTGAGCTCGGCTGGCAGTGCGAAGTCTGTTTCAAAGTTGTGCCATCGTGTCGTAACCTGCCTTTGAATGGTTGTCTTGGGACCCCGTCGTTTTTGAAGCCTCTCACGGTTGACTCGATGGGACATGAGCTTGTCGCCGTCAGTGGCTCTCGTCTCGCTCCGTTGCGTGCTGTGCGGTGCCGTGCCGAGGAAGAGAGCACTGAGGCTCGACGGGGATCCCTGTTGTGTCTGAAGTGTGGAGGTTGGAGCCAGGAAAAGGCCATTAAGTTGAGCAAGCCCTGTGCCCCTTCACCAGCACTGGTAAAATGATTTTTGTTGCGTTTTCGGAGAGGGCTCGCCCCGAATCCCCGAATTCGTGCGTTGATCGACCGAGCGATTCCTGCCCCGCGTGTCGGTCTCACGGTGGCTAGTGCGAGGGATGTCAGAGCGTCGACGTCAGTTGTTGAGCACTCGGTCGACAGTGCTATCCCGTATGAAGCTCGAATGGCTCGTTTGCTGGAGCGGGTTCGAGCCCGTGAGAACAGCTGCCAGGTTTAAGTTTATCGGAGCGGGTGCACCTGTCGCGAGCGCCGAGTATGGTTTTTGTCTACCACGCTCGGCCTCACAAGATCTCCCCCTGATGGTGCACCCGCCCACACAAGTTTTGCGGGCTGGACCCTCTCTCCTGTGACTGTCCTCCTGGGAGTCGTCTCATCTCATCTCATCCTCCTCCTCCTCCCTCCTCCTTCCGTGGCCATTTTGGCACAGGGGCTCATCCGGCGGGTGGGCGCTGCCAACGCCGGCAGTCACTGGAATGACCACAGCCAGGGCCACGGCGGCCCCGCGTCTCGCGCGGCGGCAGGGCGGAGTGGCCTCGCTCGGGCTGCTGATCGCCGCGGCGGCGCTGGCGCTGCCTGCTGGCAGCCCACGCCAGAGCTTTGTCGAGTCGCTTGCAGCTTTCATCCTGGCTGGCAAGGCAGACGCAGCTGGGCTTCGGCTGTTCTCCGTTGAAGGCATGGGCGCCAGCCGGGTGGCGATGCGGAACAGAAGGGAGCGGGGTCGAGGACGATGAAGCTTTTCAAGGAGCCGGAGGATGTCCTGATCTACAGCAATCAGCTGGCACGCCAACGCCACAAGTACGAGGGCTTGAAGAAAAAGTCCTTCTTGCGAAGACTCCAGCACAAACGCTGTGTGGCTCAGAGCACGTTGCCCCTCCGTTTTGAGTATGCCCTGAAGTGGCTCGACAACCTTGGCTGGGGTGTTCTTATTGACCCGGCGAAGAAGAGACAGTACAAGGTGTATCGTGAGGATGTCTCGGAAGACTGCAGCCCCTTCAACCACAGGACGCTGCAAAAGGCCGAGATGGTAGAGTTCTTGACTCCGGCGAGGCCGACGATAAGCACCCGAGCCTCATCGTCGTAGACAGCAATACCAGGTCCTACGATTAAGTCTGGCGTGTCCCTCTACAGGAGGAATCTTCAAAATAGCAAAAGTAAAACAATGTCCGCCTGTAGGGGGACATGCCCGACCTAACACACCAGGTCTTACGGAGCACAGCTGAAGACGTCCTACGAGTACCGGCAGGCCATGTACCAGTCTGGCGGGATTCCTGCGTACAAGGCGGACACCCGCGAAGACAGCCCTTTCACGAAGACGGTCTGCGAGCACCACCTCAGGAGGAGGTTCAACTGCATGTGGAAGTTCAAGTGAGCGAGCGGGGCGATCCCCGCGGCACAGGAGCCCAGATTGGTGGGAAGGGTGGCCTGGCTGTGAAGCGTGGAGATTGGCAGCTCGACATTTTGCCAGAGCTGGGACAAGCGACTCCTCCTCCCCCCTCCTTCCCTTCCTCCTCCCTCTCCCCCCTCCTCCCTCCTCCTCCCTCTCCCTTCCTTCCCTCCTCCACCCCCAGACATCCAGCGTCCCGATTCTTTCGAGACGGGGGCCCCCGACCTCTCGACCACTTCCCCGGGACCAGCTTCTCAGCTTGAGTAGTTTTTTGACGCTCCCGAGTCGTTGCAAGGGCCCCGAGGGGCCAAACACGGTGAAACATGTTCGTGCCGATTTTGTCGACCGAGACTTCCGACGTTGTGATTTGTTCATGGCGTCGCCCCTCACAGGTCTCGACCCATCTCCTGGAACCAGTTTTTCGTCCAGAGTTAATTGTTGACGGTCCTGGGGCCCGGGGAAGGACCCCGGAGGACAGAAATCCCCGTCGTGATTTCTCATGACTCATGACTCTACTGGGATGACCGCGGTGGTTGCTCAGGGGATAGAGGGCTACACTCGGATGCCAATGTGGGTTAAATTTGGCCCAACTTGGTTCTTAAGTGGGCTACATCTGCCCCAAGTGGTTTGGGGAGGTCCTTGTCGGCGGAGCCCGCTTCGCCTGGACCGTTGACCCCCCTAATCTACGAGAGGCGTATGTAACCCACTTATAAGGCAGCTTGTGGCAGATACTAAGCACCCCCCGCGGCGATCCCAGCGGTATTAGATAGCTGTTGGTGCCGGCTCTGTTTTTGATGGTTCCCGGGCCCGGTAGCGGGCCCCAGAGGCCGAAATCGAGGATTTCTGTCTGAAGGGATGAATCGTGTCGTCGGAGATTTGGGCGTCGCAGCAAATGGGGTTCATCTGCGCCGACGTTCGCGCGCAAGCTTCCCGCGCCAGGTCGCGCGTAAGCGCCCTCTCCTCCACGTGGTGTGCCACGCTGGCGCCCCGCGTAAGCTGCGGCGTAAGAATGCTATGCCGGCTCGCGTAAGACCCGTTTCTTGCCGTTGTTGATTTGGCGTCCGCTCATAATTGCGGCCTCGCTGGCCGACTCTTCTGGCCGCGACGCCGCGGATGCGGGGCGTCTTTTTGCGGATGCTCCGCGCGGCACGTATCCGTACGACCGCGTACCCACGGGGTCGCGCCCCAGAATCCAGACCGCGAGGGCGCGCAGACGGATATGTGCGTGGCTCGTGAGTCGGCGGCGAGCCTGGGGGGGAAGTGGGAAGGGGCGGGCCTTCTCCGAAGGCTCGGAAGCCTTCCCCCCTCCCCGAAGACACGGAACGCCTCTCGGAAGGCGCGCGGGCTTCTGGGAAACCCCGCCGACTCCTGAGAAGGTCTTCTCCTTCGCAGGCCTAGAGAGAGGTTGACACCAAAATCAATATCGGCGTTGTGCCTCCACCGAGGGAAGAAGATCCCGATCTCGGTGATGGCGGTAATATTCTGGCTCCCAAGGTGACCGAACTATTACCACCAGCACCGACATCGAGGATCATCTTCCCCCTGCGGATGGCAACCCCCTGTGTTGGTGCTGGTGCTTACTTTCCAGGCCTCCAGCTCCTCGCTCCCCGCCGAGCCCATCCCCTCGGCGCCCCCGCGGCCATCCCGGCGCGGCCCCTCCTCGGCGGGGGGCGGAGGCCGCGGCCCGGCCCCCGCGCGCACCCGAGGCGGGCCCCGCCGCTGGCCTGCGCAGCACGGCGGCGCCCGCGAGCAGGGCGGCCCCGACGGCGCGGGGCCTCGCCCGCCCTCGGGGGCGCTCTCGTCGGGTCGGGGCTCACGCGTCGGCGGCGTGGCTTCTCAGAAGCGCTCGGGCCTTCCGAGAGGCTTTCTGCGTCTTCGGGGAGGGCTCGGAGAGCTTCTGAGGAGGCCGGGGGGGGGCTTCCGAGCCCTCTGAGAAGGCCTGCCTGCCCCGTATCACTTCCCCCCGCGCTCGCCGCCAAACGTAAGTTACCGTATGACTCGAGTGCGCCAGAACTCGAATTAGCCAACGCTTTTTTTCACGGGCCTGTCCTGAATTTTGACGTTCCAGTTTTCGTGGGGTGTTTGCAGCGGGAGTTCGCGACAGATTTCAGACTGGGTCTCTCGTCATTTCCCTGGCGGCCCCGTCAGGGAGCAACCCGAGTCTTACGTCTCCCCGACTCTGGTCGGGGCTCACGCGACGGGGGTCAGCGCTAACGGAGGTCAGCCAATCTCGGTATCGTTTAACCGATCCCCATCCCCATCCCCATCTTCTTCGAGACCCCATCAAATTACCACCCCAGTTGGGGATACACCCCTCGAAACCCGTACAGAACGGTCTACATCCCCATCGAGGGGGGTAATCGGCCAGTGGGGCCCAGGCCACGCCGCTGGGGATGGGGATCGGTTAAACGATACTCACGACCCTCTCCGAGCTCCTCCAGCTGACCCGTGCCAGGGGGCCACGGGGCCACCTGGAGCCCCCCCCCCGCCCTCCGCAGACCCGGGGGTTCGCGGGCCTGGCTGGCCCGGGCCTGCGCTGGCCCGAGTCAGCATCGGGGGCCCCCAAACGGGGTGGTGACCACACCGTGTGGTGAGTCGGTGGGGGTTCGGGGTCACCGCACGGTTTCGGGACTCGGGTCGTTCTCCGAGGACGTCTCGGGCTACTGGGGCGTCCGAGGTCACGAAACCGTGCGTTGACGGACCGTGCGGTGAGGTCTTGAGGAATTTCGAGGTCACCGCACGGTCTGTCACCGCACCGTTTTGGGACTCCAAACAGTACATCCCGATCTGGTGGTGGTGGTGAGTTTGAGTCGGCTGGGGGTCTTCAGGTGGCCCGCCACTCTCACATGTGGTCGGAGTAGTCAGATGGGGTCGGAGGATCGCTCCGCATCGCCAATGCATCAGCGATGCGGCGCGATGTGGGGCCCGATGTTCTTCACGCTGACGTCGCCGATGCGTCGCCGACGTCGCCGATGCATTACCCATGCATCGCCGATGCGGCGCGTTCCTCCGACCCCATCTGCTCGGACCCCATCTGGGAAGCATCTAAGCAATGACTCCGGCCAGCAAGAAGGAGGAGGGGCAGGTTCGAGGTTTTGGGTTCGAGCAGTTTTTGTTGCCTTCTTCGATCTCAACGGGCCGTTTTCGGCCCCTGGGACCGTCAGAACTGGATCTGGGATGAAAAACTGTACCAGATGAACTCTGGGTGGGTGGTGACGGTTGTGGTGGTGGTGGCGGCGGTTTCCAGATGGCTTCGGCGATTTGCGCTGATTTTCGTTGACCTTGGGCGGTTGTTCTCCAGTAGCTGCGCCTCGCCGAGCTCGTTCCGGGTGTACCCAGATCGAGCGTGTTCGCCCAGTTTCGGGTCCCAGGACCCTCGCAAATCGATCTGGCTAGAAGGAAGAAAGGTATGGTCAGTGGCTCTGGTCGTGACTATCCACGCTGCTGTACTTGTTTCGCGCCGCCGGATTTCAAGGCCATGATGATGATGATGATGATGATGAGGATGATGATGATGATGATGATGATGATGATGATGCTGCTGCTGCTGCTGCTGCTGCTGCTGCTGCTGATGATGATGATGATGATGCGGAGGAGGAGGAGGAGGAGGAGGAGGAGGAGGAGGAGGAGGAGGAGGGGCGGGAGGAGGGGGATGGGGGAGCGAGCGAGCGAGTGAGGAGGAGGGCGAGGGGGGGAGCAAGCTAGGTGCGCTCGCGCGACATCTGACATACTATCCCTTTCTCCCATGGCTTCTTCCCATTGCGCCGATGTTTTGACTGTCCGCGGACGCGTGTCATAGCAGGCCCGGAACTCCATGAGGCAGAACCCATCGTGTTGTGCGCAATCGGAGCGGTGGAGCTGCATCCATCGGAAGAGGAGGTGGCGGGTGAGCAGGAGGAAGACGTGGAAGGACGAGGACGAGCAGCAGCAGCAGAAGCATGAACTGGAGTGGAAGGAGCGGGATGAGCAGGAGGACCAGCGGAAGGCGGAGCAGGGGAAATGAGGCGGGCGAGATCGCCATTCTGAACGACAGCGGGAGCAAAGCGCCGATCCGGAAATGAGGGCCACGCTGCAGCCAGAACTACAGTATGAACGCTAGTTACCATAGGAACGACCACCTTTGCCCGACCCTGTGTAAAAAGCAGCTCGCGGAGACAATCGGCTATCTCCTCGACAGAGTCAGGAAAGAGAGGACAGTAGCATTTACAACCAGCAAGTGAGGAGGAGGAAGAGGAGGAAGAGGAGGAAAAGGAGGAGGAGGAGGGGGGAAAAAGAGGAGTGGGTGATGGTGGTGGTGGTGGTGGTGGTGGTGATGACAGTAGTGCGCCGATCTCGGCGCCCACGTCAAAGCAGACTTGTGCATTGGACATCTTTGGGTCGAAAACAACTGATTATCAGTTCTGCAGCTGCTCGAACACTCAAGATCAAGTCCAGCAACAGACCAATTGCAGTGCGGAGCTAGTTTCTCTCAAGTCTAACTCCAGGTTGTGGTGGTGGCGACGATGATGATGATGCTGATGATGCTGATGAGTGTGATGATGCTGCTGATGATGCTGATGATGCTGATGATAATGGGTATAAGGGGATGGTGATACCACTGATGGTGATGCTGGTGATGCTGATGTGATGATGAGGAGGGTGATTATGATGGTACAGCTGCCGCTGCTGGTGATCATGGTGATGATGGTTATGATGATGAGGATGATTATGATGATGCTGATGCTGATGGTGATGCTGAGGATGATGCTGCTGATTATGAGGATGATGGTGATGCATATGATGATGGTTGTGATGATGATGCTGCTGATCATGATGCTGCTGAAGAGGATGCTGCTGATGATGAGTATGAGGTATATGCTGCTGACGATGATGATGCTGCTGCTGACGATGCTTATGTTTCTCGGTGATGATGATGATGATGAGGAGGAGGAGGAGGAGCAGGAGGAGGAGGAGGAGGAGGAGGGTGTGGGGGAGCATGGGGGATGGGGGAGCGAGCGAGGGAGCGAGCGGGGCGGGCGTGGGGGATGGAGATGGAGGAGGCGGGGCGGGGGAGAGGAGACAGGAGCAGGGGGGAGGATGAGGAGGGAAGGAAGGGGGGAGGACGCGGAGGGATGCTGATGATTCTTCAGGCTTGCGCCACATCCGCCGACCCCTTAAATGCGTTCGAGCAAGACATGTCTGACGCTGTTGAAAGAGCAGGCGGAAATGTCGGGTGCACAGAAGAAGCACAATTCATCGGGGGAGAGGCTCTGTCGGAAATGCGCGGAGGGGCGAGAGAACGAGGTGCGACGTGACGTGCGCGGCGTGCGGAGGAGCGTTCTCGGTTACGAAACACTTGCAGCAGCAACAGGTGGGGAATCATCAAAAGGCGACAGGAGCGGCGCGTGCAAGAGAAGACTACCGAAGTCGGAGAGGTCGTTTGGCGTCTCGGAGCTCTCGTGGGCCGTCTTGGAGGCTTCTTGGGGGCCTTCTTGGCCCGTGTTTAGGCCTTCTTGACCCCGGAAAAGCCCGTGATGCGCTCGTGCCGGGCCCGGGGGAGGGGGGGGGGGAAGGGGGGCAAATCTCCGGTTTGAGGTCCCTGGGGGGGTTATGGGGGGGGGGGGCATTTCGCAGGCTTCGTGGAGGTAGTTTCGAAGTTCACTGATCGCCGTTTTGGGACCTCTTGGGGCCTCTTTTGGGCCTCTCGGACGCTTTTTGGAGGTCTTTTGGGGGTCTCTTGGGACTTTTTGGGCGGCTCGTGGGGTGTCCCAGGGCCAGGTGGGAGCGGAGGGCTCGGATTTTCGGTTCGGGCTCCGCCGCTGGGGCCCCTCTAGGAGCCGTCTTGGGACTCTTTTGGGCCGATTCGGGAGCCTCTGGGGCCGTCTTGGCGCCGTTTTGGGCCGTCTTGGGCGCCTTTTGGGACCCTTTTGGGGCGTCATGGGGTGGCCTTGGGGGCCTCTTAGACTGGCTGGAACTCCGTGCAGGCTGAGAAGTCGTCGATGCTAAAAATGTACGTTTCCCAATGGAAAATCAATGATTTCGCTACTTTGGACCTTCTTGGAGCGCCCCTTCGGGGCCTCTTGGAGCGTCTTGGAGGCATCGTGGGCTGTCTTGAGCCCATATTGGGGAATCTTGGAGCCACCGAAGGCCACGTGGAGGTCCTCTTGAGCCGTCGTGGTGCGCCCCGGGGCCACTTCGAGGCCACCGGAGGAGTCCCTGCAGGATTTTCGGGAGCGGATGACCCCCCCGGGGGAAACGGGGAATTTGACTAGACCCCCCCCCCAAATCGACCGGACCGGGCTCCCGGGGGAGGGGTTTGACGGGAAGCGCCTCCGGCGTGCACCGTTGGTTCAGGGGCTTAATTTTCTCCAACTAAGGGGTACCGATCGCATCCCGCACCTCGCTGGCGGATGACGGGAAGCGTCTTCGAGGTACGAGAAGCAAGCGGGACGTTCTGGCTGAATCCTTGAGTATATATATATATATATATATATATATATATCTTTATATCTATGGGTTGGATTTTTCGTTGGCGGATTCCCCAAAATGGCCATTTCGCTCGAGACATCCTAAAATCGAGGTGTGGTCTGCCGTGCTCCTGTGTGGTCTGCCGTGCTCCTGTGGTCTGCCGTTAGGAACCGAGAGGAGCACGGCAGACCAAGACGAGGAGCACGGCAGACCAGGCACCAAGAGCGCCCTCAAGACGACGGAAAGGATGACCAAGACGAGGAGCACGGCAGACCAAGACGAGGAGCACGGCAGACTATGCCCTAAGAGTGCCCTCAAG